TTGTGGGGATTCACTGACGCCCCGACCTTGGGATAATCTTCAAAAGGATTAAAAGCTTAAATGTATCGGTGTGTAATTGGCGGACTCTTTCCTTTTGCCTCAGCAAAGTGGCTGGCCAGCCTGTGAGCTCCCTGAGGGCAATTCTTTTCATGCCTGCTGGGGGCGGGGGCAGCTCACAGAAATTCACCCTTCCCTTGCGGTTCTGCCAGCTTCTGCTGTTCATCACAGGGAAGGGAGGGGGGAGAGACCCATCCAAAGGAGTGACTGGCGGCAGCTACCAAGGACATCCCAAACTATGAAGGGTTGGGATTTCTAGCTACAGAAAATAACTATGGCTTTCCTCTCTTCTCCAACCATCAATCATGATAACAATGGCCAGAATAATGTTTATTTCTTCATTAGTTACACTTACACCACCACCCCTTTCTTCTCATGAGCTTAAGTTGACCTATGCAATGTTATTTCTCCCAACTTTCTCCTCACAATAATGTGGTGTGGTAGGTCATGCAGAGTGTGCAGCTGGCCTAAGGTCACCCAATGAGTTTCGTGCCTAAATTGGGATTATTGGGACCCCATTCCAAGACCTTAGCCATTATTCCACAATGGCTCCCTTACAGTATCGTAACATATCATAAGTCTGTGGTGCACATGTATGTAATCATTTCAGTACATGACATGTATACTTCCTTTCTTTTCTGCATTCCTAGTCTGGATAATTCTTATCTGCTCTTTTTCTTATCCTTGATTCCATTTTAGACTTGGACCTCTAATGAGGATGGTAGATCCTTTGCACAGAGATTTTGTTTGCTGCTTCCATCTCTCTTTGGGTTAAACTAGATGAGACACCACAGGATTGTTTTCTAATGAAATCCCTCCTGTGCAACACACACACACACATACATATCTTCTCTCTCTCTCTCTCTCTCTCTCTTTTGTATATAGTTCCCAGTGTACTACTTAGGGCTATATAAGTGCTATAAAGGTAGCAAAGTCAACAATTTAGAATTGCCATGGACAGAGAACTTATTTAATTTGGGCCTGCTTGACTGATGCATCAAGTTAATATGGAACAGTGAAACATTATATGTAAGAAAATTAATTTAAAAGAAATTAGTCATTGGTTAAAAATTCATTGAGCTTAAGCGAAAATAAATTATGCTTACAAGAATAATCAGATGAGGGCAAACTGACCATGGGGTGAATCTCTCACTGACTAAAAGGGCAGGCATCCAGATGTAGAATTTCCCTCCCCACCCCGGCTTTTTAATGTTGTGCTAAATTGTCTGGGGTGTAACCCAGTTTGGCAACAAATAAGGGTTGATGACATGCAGAAAGATATTTGTTGGGGAGGAGGACTTGTGGTTTTTAGTGACAGACCTGCACACTCTATCCTCCTAGTTTAAATGATGTTTTTGCTGAAATATAGTAAAACATCTCATTCGTGATCAGTATCTGTGTTATGAATGTTAAATTATTTTTCCCCTATGGAAAAATTTTATTATATTTTTTAAGCAGTCTTTCATGATATATGAGTTCTTGATGGCACAGATCCCAGAGGAGGTTATATCCTCGTTCTGTGTGTGACTGATTTTTTAAAAAAAAAAACAAAACACAAAATATTATACTGTACACATGCTGAAATCTAATACTCTTTTGTGAGATGAGATAACCCTAAAGACAGCTAGTAAATTTTTGTAGGGCAAACCTAATCTTAACTAACAGTCCAGTCAAGTCTGTGCTGCCCTGGAAGGAAGATCCAGTGGGGTAAATGGAATTTCATACCCAAGGAAAGTTGTACAAGATGGGAGACAAAACATGAAAGTCAAACGTAGACAGGGATAACATGAATATTTGAAAATTTTTGAAGAATGATCAAAAACATGTTTTTGAGTGTGCATGAATCCTGATGAGACGAATCCTGGCTTGACAAGAATTTTTCCAGTTCAGGACCTATTGTGTTCAAAATTCACCTGTGGTTGTTTAATGCAAAAATCATATTTTCTATTAAGCTGTATGCAGAAAATATCACACACATAGCAGACAGACTCAGAGGTAGGAGAAGTGAAGATTGGAGGAAGGAACATTGTTGTTGTTGTTGTTGTTGTTGTTGTTGTTGTTACAGTTTATTTATATAGCACTGTAGATTTACACTACGCTGTACATACAGTTAATAAAATAGATAAAAATAGATAAAAAAGCCTGCCGATGGCATACATACTACAAAATAATAAAACAGATAATGCAAAGAAAGCAATAAATTAAAAACATCAAATAATCATCATACAATGCCTGTGAACGCTTCCCTGAACAGTATAGTCTTTAACTCAGCTTTGAAGCTGGTCAAAGAAGTGATGGCCTGTGCTCATGGGGGAAGGAGGTTCCAGGAATGAGGGGCCGCAAGTGAAAAGGGACGGATCTGGGAAGGAGCAGTAAGAATCCTAGGCTGAGACAGCAGACCTTGACTACCAGAGCAGAAGGCACGAGTGGGACAGTAAGAGGAAAGAAGCTCTGATAAATAAGGAGGGGCCAACCCATGCAGGGCTTTAAAAGTCAACAACAGAAGCTTATACTGAATACGGAAAGGGAGGGGGAGCCAGTGAAGGGATGACAATAAAGAAGAAATATGGTTGAAGCGATGAGCAGATGTGATAATGCGTGCAGCAGAATGCTGGACTGAAATTAAAGGACAGAGGTGAGAAAGAGGGAGCCCTGCCAGGAGAAGGTTACAATAATCTAGTCGTGAGACCACTAAGGCATGGACCAAAATCTTGGCAGTAGAGGCTGAGAGAAATGGTCGGATTTTAACAATATTATACAAAAAGAATCTACATGCCTAGGCTGTGGCCTGAATCTGGGGATACACAACAGAGAAGAATCAAAAATAAAACCAAGATGACTGGCTTCCTGGATAGGTTGAATAGAAATATCGTCAACAAAAACAGAAAAAGAGTATTGAACAGTAGATTTTGGTGGAAAAACAAGAACCTTCAAGTGCTGATGGTGCATCCACTGAGAGACAGTTGTAAGACAAGATGAAACTTGCTGTTCAAGATCCAAAGAAAGGTCAGGGGTGGAGAGATACAGCTGAGTGTCATCGGCATACAGATGATAGGAGAAGCCAAAAGAACTGATGAGTTTTCCTAGAGACAATATGTAAAGGGAAAACAGTAGGGGACCCAAAACAGAGCCCTGGGGAACTCCAACAGATAATTAGCCTTGGCCCTCAAAAGATCATCTGAGATCTTTGTTAGAGCCGTCTGTAGCATGCCGTGGGTGGAAACCAGACTGAAAGGGATCAAGAATGGAGTTGGCTTTAAGAAACTCAAGACAGCGAGAATAAACGACCCGTTCCAAAATCTTAGAAAGAAAAGGAAGAAGAGAAATCGAACGATAGCTAGACAGAGAAGAGGAATGTGATCTTCCTCATACATCAGCAACCTAAGATATGCAGACAACACAATACTACTAACAGAAACCAACCAAGACTGGAGCAACTACTAAAGAAGGTCAAGGAAGAAAGTGCCAAGGTAGGATTAATGCTGAACATTAAGAAAACAAAAATAATAACTACAGAAGATCTACAAGAATTTATTCTAGGTAATGATGAAACTGAAATAGTCAAGGAATTCTCATATCTTGGATCAAATATTGCTCTAAATAGAGAATGCAGCCAAAAAATTAGAAGAAGAATAGGTATGGGAAGGGCAGCTATGAAGAAACTGGACAGGATCCTAACATGCAAAGATATAACTCTGAACACCAAATTAAGGATTGTACAGGCCATTGTGTTCCCCGTCACCATGTATGGATGTGAGAGCTGGACAGTGAAGAAAACCGAAATCAACTCATTTGAAATATGGTGCTGAGAAGAGAACAGTGCTGAAAATACCATGGATGGCCAAGAAGACAAACAAATGGATTCTACAACAGATTAAGACTGAGCTCTCTCTGGAAACCAGGATGACAATTGAGATTGTCATACTTTGGCCACATCATGAGAAGGAACGAATCATTGGAAAAGACCATGGTGCTAGGAAAGGTAAAGTAGAAAGAGAGGAAGATCACATACTGGATGGTTGGATTCAGAGAGGCCACAGGCCTTAGCCTGCAGGACCTGAGCAGAGCACTGGACAGGGGGTCTTGGAATTGTCTCATCCAAAGTCGAGAATGATTTGAGGGCAGTTAACAACAACAACAACATTTTCTGTGAAAAAAATGCTGTAATTGAGAATATATTCTGCACAAAATTAACACATGGTTGATCTGCCTAGAAAATAGCATTTTCTGCACAGGAAATAGCCTGTAGAAAATTATTTCATTTTCTGCACAGAAAATACTGTTTCCTGTCCAAAGCAACCAGGTGCAAATTTGTGCAGAATAAATCCCAAATTGCAAATAGACATGAAAGGTGCATGATTTTTGAAGACTTTCTCACAGCCAGAAGAAGGCTGCTAAAATTTCTAGTTGTTTTTTGTAAGAAGAAAATTAGTGAAGAATTCCATTCCTAATTGGAATGACAATAGTAATGCTTATTGACTTGAGAATTCAGCTACATAAGAACAAAGAATGCTAGGAACTAGGCAGCTAAGAACACAAGAACTATGCTTGATCAGGCGAAAGCCCTTTCTTGTCTAACAATCCCTTCACGCAGTGGCCAAGCAGTTGCCTATCATTCTTCTCTTTTAAGACAAATTTGATTGCTCAGCTGCTGCTGCCACACTACAGGAATAAAGCAGTTTGACACCATTGTAACTGCCATGGGTCAATGCTATGAAACTCTGGGATTTATAGCTTTGTGAGCTATTTAGCCTTCCCTGTCAGAGAACTCTAGTATCCCTTGTTGGTTGTTGTGTTCCTTCAAGTCATTTCCAACTTATTGCGACCCTACAACGAACCCATCATGGGATTTTCTTGGCAAGTTTCTTCAGAGGGGGTTTGCTATTGTCATCCTCTGAGACTGAGAGACTGTAACTTGCCCCGGATCACCCAGTGGGTTTATGTGGCCGAGCCAGGATTTGAACCCTGGTCTCCAGAGTCCTAGTCCAGCGCTCAAACAACTATGCCACACTGGGTGTACCAAATTACAAATCCCAGAATTCCACAACATTGAGCCATGAGAGTTAAAGTTGTATCAAACTACCGGTACTTTATTTCTGCAGTGTTGCTGCAGCTATAATTCTGATGAAGGAAGAGGCTATTTGATGATATATTAATTAATTCCATACTTTTCTCCCAGCATGAAGAATGTTCATAGCTGTTAATAGTAGCAGACTTGATTAGAACCCTAGTTTCATTTCATTTTGTTCCCCCCCCCAAGTTGGTTCATCCTAGCAATGTTTAGGCATTCTTCACATTCCAGCACAAATTTATCTACCAGAGGAGTTCTTGGGTGGATTTAGCCTTCACTGGAATACTTCTCAAGGAATCTCTCTGTAATCCAGCCTTTCCTCTTTGCTTGTATGTATGAGAATTTGTTCTCCCTTTCTATCCTTGTACCCACCCACTCCTCACACACATATACACAGCACATACCTTGTCTAGCTAATGGTCCCTGACATTCCAATGTGATTTAGTGC